GCTATATGGAAAGCCTCGGGCATAATCCTGAAGAGGGGGGAGGAGAGTTATGGTGTATACAGCGATTCGAGGGCAGCGCTGGAGACGATCGCAAACCATGGCTCACTTCACCCCCTCGCAGTGGAGACGAGGAAGAACCTGCAGACGGCCTTGGCCCAGGGCAAAGCTGTGTCTTTGTTCTGGGTGAAAGCCCATGCAGGTCTTAAGGCAAGGAGAGGGTCGCCCCCGCCGGCTCTAGGAGACAGAGAGACCGAGAGTGTGGTAGGATTTGCAGAAGCTCTACATCCGGCAGAACATATAGACCTGGAGTTCATGTGCTTGGTAGACAATCAACACGTAGAGCAGCATAACGTGCAGGCGGTGCGCATTTTTACAGACGGGAGCAAGATTGAGGGGAAAGTCGGAGCAGCATTATCCATATGGAATAATGAGGCCGAGACCGGTAGCCTCAAGCTTGCCCTGTCTGCGTACTGCTCAGTTTACCAGGCGGAACTCTTGGCTATATGGAAAGCCTCGGGCATAATCCTGAAGAGGGGGGAGGAGAGTTATGGTGTATACAGCGATTCGAGGGCAGCGCTGGAGACGATCGCAAACCATGGCTCACTTCACCCCCTCGCAGTGGAGACGAGGAAGAACCTGCAGACGGCCTTGGCCCAGGGCAAAGCTGTGTCTTTGTTCTGGGTGAAAGCCCATGCAGGTCTTTCAGGCAACGAGCGCGCGGATGACCTGGCTAAGGAAGCGGCACTCAGTATTAAAAGGAAACCTGATTACGACCGGTGCCCAATTTCATACGTAAGAAAGACTATTCGTGATGAGTCCCTAGATACATGGAACCAACGATATCTGGACGGGGACACCGCGTCGGTAACCAGGGTTTTCCTACCAGATGCCATTCAGGCGTATAGGTTAGTCCGAAAGATAGGACCGACAGGTATGCTCACCCAAATCTTGACGGGGCATGGTGGGTTTTCTCAGTACTTGAACCGCTTCAAGTGCAGGGACAATCCATCATGCGCCTGCGACCCAGCGTATGAGGAGACTGTTCTCCACCTCCTCACCGAATGTCCCATCCACAGCCGCGAGCGCTTCGAGCTCGAAAGTAGATACGACCTGGCTGTAAACAAAGAAAATTTGCATATATTGTTAGGTAACAAAAATAGTAGGAACAGATTTATTAATTACTGTCTCGAAATCTGTAAAGTAGTAAATAAGCGCAATAGTACGTAAAACATCAACACACTGCTATATATAATAGGAGTATTATATACGTTCGTGTGAAATAGTACAGCAACAGATATATAAATAGATGGTAATTAGTATTAAGAATATAACATTATATAGAAGCAAATAAATATAAGAAATCAATTGTAAAATAGAAGTAAGAAAATCATTGTAAAATGGATGAAATAAAAGAAAATCGGCGTAAAATTATTTTCAGCCAGAAGGCATAAGAAAAGCATGCAAAAAAAGAGAAAAAAGATAAAAAAGAATACCCCCTTGAAAGCAAATCCTTGAAAAAATATCAGGGGAAATGAGCCGAAAAAAAAAAAAAAAAAAAAAAAAAAATTTTCCACTGCTTGCGGGCGCAGCTGCCCCACCTCACTCCCGGGAGGGGTAACGGCCGATGATACTCCACCGACCGTGTCGAGCTGTTAACACCCGACACTGCTCCTCGGCCCCCCCCAGACCTTGGCATTTGAGGGTTTTATAGACTTTTCCTTGTCTTGACCCCGACTTCCGTAGCCGGAGCCCCCGGCCCCCCTCCGTTGGGGGGTTACGGGTTGCCCGACAGGCCCGCCGAGTTGACGCAACCTGCCGCGCCGGTGAGGAGTCAGCCGCCCGCGCGACAGAACACGCGGACGTTGCCCGGGATGCACCACGGGGAGGTCCCTCACCATCGCACCCCAACCTAACCTAACCTAACCTAACCTAACCTTTTTTTTTTTAAGGTGGTAAAAAATGCATTACTGCATACCCGCCGCTGGGTCAGGCGGCGGGTTATGTGGGGCTCTCCCCGCCAGAAGGGCGGGGCCTACCCACTAAAAACTTCCACCAGTCTCCAGCTTGCTGTGTTTGTAGGAGGCTAACGGTATAGCTGGGCCTTTCCCGAATGCCACCCTACAAGAAAACACAGTTGTCTGCAATGCAGACCCGTCAGTTTTGACCACTACCTAACCTAACCTAACCTAACCTAACCTACTCCAAATTTGANAATATCCGCCATAGACCCTCGGAGACTTTTATTTACAGTATATACAGGGGAAACTATACACACTGTACAGGAAAAGACATATTTACACGATTATATATTATACAAGTTTATATACAACAATTGGCATTGCAGACAGGTGTAAATGGCCTGCCCGCAAATGCCCACCTACAAACTACGACTGGCGTCAAGGACGACGAGCAAAAGCCCGCCGCCTTCGGCCCACTCTTCTCCGGCGAGCGAGGTCTGCAAGGGGATCCTCTTCTCTCTCCCGCTCAGCCGTCTCCTTCTCCATCATGACGGCCTCACAATAGGCCTTAAAAGCGTCATGTCCGGTGTCGCTGCCGACTATGGCTTTAACCACTGCCGGTAGCGATATGTCTGGTCCAATGGCCGCACGGAGCGTGGCTCGGTGCGGCTCCCACTCAGTGCACACCTCCAGAGTGTGTTCTGCTGTGTCATCTTCTCCGGTGTTACAGTGGCAGCAGGCGGCGGTCCCCTCGCGGCCGATTCTGTGCAGGTATTTCCCGAAACAACCATGTCCGGTCAACACCTGCACCATCCGGTACGTGAGTGGGCTACCGCGCCGCTCCAACCACTCCTTCAGGCAGGGTTGCAGTGCCTCGACCGTCCGGTGGCCCGCACTGGGCTCCGTCAGACTGGCCGACCACTCTTCCACAATCACGTTGCGGGCCTCCTCCCTCCAGTGCTCGATTTCCCGCGGTGCCGGCGGGTTACCGCTGCGCTTTGCGGCAGCAGTGTGATGGTACACCTCAGCCAGCACTTTGGCCTCAAGCTCCCAGGGAGGGGTGCCCGCAAGCGCACACGCAGCCTCTCGTGACACCGTGCAATAGGCACGCACCATCCTCACAGCCATGACTCGCTGTGGCCTCCTGAGTACTGTCCGGTTCTCTCTACCGAGGGCGTCCACCCATATGGGCGCGCCGTACAAAGCCATGGAGCGTATAACTCCGGCGAAGAGACGACGACACCCCATGTGCGGACCCCCCAGATTTGGCATTATGCGGCACAGTGCCGCTGCTGTCCTCGTCAATTTGGGAGCGAGATATCGGAAGTGGGCCTTAAAGTTCCATCGGCTGTCGAGGACCAATCCCAGGTATTTCATGGTCGACCCGACACCGATGGAGACGCCACCCACCACGATCTCCGCCCCCGCCGGCGGTGCTCTACGAGGCCCGTGAAAGCATATTGCTTCGGACTTGTTTAGCGCCACCTTCAGTCCCAGACGTTTGATGCGGTCCACGACTTGCGCCACTCCCGCTGTTGCCAAAATGGCCGCATCTCTGAAAGTTTTCCCCTTCGCTGTCACCAGGGTGTCGTCCGCATAGCACACGACCCCGATCCCATGCAGAGTTGAACCACGGATGGCCCAGTCATAACCGATGTTCCACAGGAGCGGACCAAGGACCGACCCCTGTGGAACACCGCACGACACCGGCCTTCTACCCCAGCCATCCGCAGTCGGGAAGATGATGTCCCTATTTCGGAGATAGTCCAGTACTATATTCTGCAGGTATTCGGGGAACTTGTGGTATTTTAGGGCTTCCTCTATGCAAGCGTGGGGGAGGGTGTTAAATGCGTTGGCGATATCCAACGACACCGCCACCACGCACCCCCCACGCGCGACCTCATCTTCGGCAAGGGCTTTCACGTGCTCTATCGCATCTATTGTGGATCTGCCCCGCCGGAAACCGTATTGATTCTCCGCCAGTTCCGGGCCGGTATCCACCATGTGCCTGTTAAGGCGGATGGCGATGACCCTTTCCATCAACTTGGCCGCTTCATCCAATAGGACTATTGGCCTATACGCTGCTGGAGAGTCTGCTGGTCGACCCTCCTTCCTGAGCAGCACGAGTTTGCCCGTCTTCCACACTCGTGGAAAGTGGGCCTGCTTCAGGCACTCCGTCAACAGAGCCCGAAATCGGGGCTCCAGGCCGTTCTTCAATGCTATCACCAGGGCCTTTCCGGGTATACCATCAGGGCCCGGAGCGGTGTTTTTCGCTTGAAGGCGAAGGATAGCCGCCCCGAGCTCCCCCTCAGTCACATCCGGTGCGTCTTCTCTGTCTATCCCGTCAGAGTTGAAGTAGACTGGCGGCGTGAAAACCTGCCTTGCGGGAAAGAGGGCTTCGACGACGTTTCTCAGGAGANCTTCAGCGCTTCCTCTATGCAAGCGTGGGGGAGGGTGTTAAATGCGTTGGCGATATCCAACGACACCGCCACCACGCATCCCCCACGCTCGACCTCTTCTTCGGCAAGGGCTTTTACGTGCCCTATGGCATCGATCGTGGATCTGCCCCGCCGGAAGCCGTATTGATTTTCCGCCAATTCCGGGCCGGTCTCTACCATGTGCCTGTTAAGGCGGGTGGCGATGACCCTTTCCATCAACTTGGCCGCTTCATCCAATAGGACTATTGGCCTATATGCCGCTGGAGAGTCTGCTGGTCGACCCTCCTTCCTGAGCAGCACAAGTTTGCCCGTCTTCCACACTCGTGGAAAGTGGGCCTGCTTCAGGCACTCCGTCAACAACGCCCGGAATCGGGGCTCCAGGCCGTTCTTCAGCGCTATGACCAGCGCTTTCCCGGGTATACCATCAGGGCCCGGGGCGGTGTTTTTCGCTTGAAGGCGAAGGATAGCCGCCCCGAGCTCCCCCTCAGTCACATCCGGTGCCTCCTCTCTATCTATCCCGTCAGAGTTGAAGTAGACTGGCGGCGTGACAACCTGCCTTGCGGGAAAGAGGGCTTCGACGACGTTCCTCAGGAGACCAGGATCCATGGTGGTGGTGAGTGGGGGAGTCCGCGGGCGCAGCTTGTTCATGACGAGCCTATATGGCCNGACCTTTTGACCGATCATAAGTCATTGCCAAGTTTAGGCTTTTGGAATTCAGTTCACAATTTACTAATTTCCATCGTAGACAGTGAATAAGTAATAATGAATGTAAACGAAACAGAGCAAACATTGTTACCATACTATACCATGCTATTCTTTGCCATACATTGGCCTAGGTATACATTTTTTTTTGCAAAAATTTTAAGTGTTTCTCTCTTTGATGACATCATTTCTCCCCCAGAGCTACTACAAGAATGAGTCGGAGCTGGCGGCGAACATGACGGCGGACGGCTGGCTCCGCACGGGCGACGCCTTNTTAATATTGACAGTGATTATTATTCTTCAAATGCACGAAGCCCCAAAATAAGATTAGCTTTGAATAAAAAGTAGGTCCTTAACTTCTTTGTATCCTAATCCTGGTGCCCTAAGCTACTGTGTCTTTTACTTCCATTCTCGTTGTCTCGTATGTGACCCGCGTGGTCGTGCGCAGAGCGGAGGACAGCGAGGAGGGCGCGGCGAGCCTGCTGCTGCCCACGAGCGGCTCCACGGGGCTGCCCAAGGCGGCGCAGTACAACCAGCGCGCGCTGGTGGCGCAGCTGCCCACCGTCTGGTCGGTTGCACATTGTTAATCATTATTCATTAATAACCAAATCCCTTCCGATTTTTTTTTAAACTGCATAATATTATCATATTTCATATTATTTTTAGACTAAAGCCTGGTCTGTGAGCACGTAGAATTTTGTCCAATGACCACAAGCTACCCATCCTTATTGCTCGCGCGTAATTATATTGCTGTCGCGACTGTGCGACGGGCGCCCTCAGTGAGTGGGTGAGCGCGACAGCAACATATTACGCGCGAGCGATAAGGATGGGTAGCTTGGGGACTTTTCCTTTGCAAAGTTTTATACTTTGCAAATTCCTGGTTAAAAAAAAGTTACGTCCACAGGATGCACTACGAGAAGTTCCCCACGCCAACGGAGCGCGTGATGTTGCTCTCGACCCCGCAGTGGGGTACCTTCACCATCACCGTTGCCACGTGCTGTGTGTACAACGTCACACTGGTCATGTCTCCCAAAGAGGCTACCGTGGAAAATGTACTCGACATGATGCAAAGATGCAGGGTATAACATGAATGAATAACTCTGAAGGTGGCGTTGCTAGTGTCGTTCAGGTCGTTACAATAACGAGTGGATTGTGTTATGTTGGCAGCCAACTTGGACGTTCTTCGGGCCGCCGTTCGCCAAGCAGCTGGCCAAGGCGGCGACGCCGGACCACTTCTCGTCGCTGGAGACCGTGTTGACGCTCGGCTCGCAGTTGTCGCCTGACATCATGGCCCTTCTAAAGGTAACAACATTTTAGTTATGTTTTACTAGCTTTCCGCCCGCGGCTTCGCCCGCGTGGAATTTTGTCTGTCACAGAAAAACTTTATCGCGCGCGTCCCTGTTTCAAAAACCGGGATAAAAACTATCCTATGTTCTTTCCCGGGACTCAAACTATCTCTATGCCAAATTTCATCAAAATCGGTTGCGAGGTTTAAGCGGGAAAGCGTAACAGACAGACAGACAGACAGACAGACAGACAGACAGACAGACAGAGTTACTTTCGCATTTATAATATTAGTTGGGATATAGTTGGGATGTAACACTTTCACCTTTATATAGATTTTTAAAACTTAAATGTAAAATTTGCGACATACAAAACTGATTTGAATTCGTTTGAGCGTTCACAGGAAAAAATGGCTCCGGACAGCAACGTGTGCGAAGGTTATGGCATGACGGAGGTGCACGGCTTCGTCACCGTGGCCGAGCGGGACGCCGCGCCGGGCTGCAACGGTCGCTGCGCCAACATCTTCCACTACCGGGTGAGGCGCCGGCACACTCACTTGATGTTGAGCGACGCGTATGGTGTTTACCTGAAATAGTTTAGATGAATATAATGCTCCTAACGCGTGGGTACTGAGTCTTCAATTTGAATTGTCTAGATTTATATAATCTAGCTAGAGCCTGGTCTGCATGACGATNGAATGGTTATAATTTGCGACAATTTTGGATATTTCCCCGTCTCATCTGTTCTCTCTAAAACATAATTTTCTCCTCCAGGGCTACTATAAGAACGAATCAGAGCTGGCGGAGAGCATGACGGCGGATGGCTGGTTCCGTACGGGTGACGCCTTCCGCCAGGACCGCGCGCGCCGTCTCTACTACTGCCGCCGCATCAAGTTCTGCTTCAAGTACGAGAACTTGCTGGTGAGTCGGACACGTATACCTACCTACTNGTGGGTACTGAGTCTTCAATTTGAATTGTCTAGATTTATATAATCTAGCTAGAGCCTGGTCTGCATGACGATTACATCACACTTACAATCCCATCCTAATTGGGGGGAGTGGGGGGACTGGGTTGGGATTGGGATTTTTTCCTTATATTTGAATGGTTAATCATTAATAAGTGAATATCTACTATTGTTTTGCAGCTCGTTAAAAGCGACGATGAAGATGCTGCCACTGACGAAGAAGGAGAACTTATCGTTAAGGGCTCTACTATTATTAAGGTAAGCTCGTTTCTAAAAAGTCTTAATTTTTTTAAAGTTCGGGCCTGAAAATCACTTGACCAATATGCTTAGACTTGTAGATTACTTACTTTCTTCTTAATTTCTTCTTCTTACTTTATCAAAAAGTACTAAATTACACAATTTACTAAGTCTTCAAAGTTTTCTATAGACGACAGTCATCATTAAATTTCAGCCATAAGATGTCGACTGCTGAACATAAGCATCCCCCAATGATTTCCATATCGCGTGGTTGGTAGCGGTCTGCATCCAGCGCTTTCGTGCTATCTTTATGAGGTCGTTGGTCCCGCTTGTGGGTGGACGTCTCACGCTGCGTTTTCCGATACCTACGTGACCCCCACTTCAGAAGTTTGCTGCCCTTATCGGCCGTCAGTTCTGTGTACATTGTGCCCTGTCTATTGCCACTTCAGCTTGCTAATCTGGCGGGCTATGTCAGCGACTTTAGTTCGTTTACGGATCTCCTCATTTCCAATTGGATCATGTAAAGACACCGAGCATAGCCCTTTCCATAACACGCTGTGCAACTTTGAGCTTATTTATGAGGCCTATAGTGAGAGCCCACGTTTCGGAGCCATAATTATTCAAATTCTAATATTTTATTAAATCAGACTAAAATTATGTCGATGAGACGACACTATAGGAAGTTAATAGTGTTATATTTTATCAGACGCCAAAGTAATAAACGTAATACGCTGCGCTACCTTGTTATAATATTTACCCGACTGCACCAGAAGGAACATAAACATAGTGATACTACCTAATGTAACGTCACCATTTTACCTATGATTCACAATAAATGATTTTGTATTTGTATTTAAGGAGGGTTATTTAACATACCTACTAAGAAGTGCTACTGAGTGGACTCATTTAATTTTCATGAACTTGCTTGAATGGTTATGATTTGAGTGCAGTTTTGCGTGTTTCTCCGTCTCGTCTCTCTGAAACATCGTTTGTCTCCTCCAGGGCTACTATAAGAACGAGTCAGAGCTGGCGGAGAGCATGACGGCGGACGGCTGGTTCCGTACGGGTGACATCTTCCGCCAGGACCGCGCGCGCCGTCTCTACTACTGCCGCCGCATCAAGTTCTGCTTCATTTACGAGAACTTGCTGGTGAGTCGGANGATTTCAAAGTTATTGTTCTAACTTATACCGTTTATGAACTAATATTGTGTGACCATCAAATTTGAGTGTAAATGAGAAGTAGCCGTAGAATATTTAGTAATGTACCTACGATACAAGATTTGCAACACCCTTACAGGGTCATAAGTTGAGACTAAGTTTAAGATCACCACCTATGTACACTTATGAAGCAATAAATAAATGATTATGATTATGATTATGATTCTTTGCCATACATTGGCCTAGGTATACATTTTTTTTTTTGCAAAATTTTTAAGTGTTTCTCTCTTTGATGACATCATTTTTCCCCCAGAGCTACTACAAGAATGAGTCGGAGCTGGCGGCGAACATGACGGCGGACGGCTGGCTCCGCACGGGCGACGCCTTCCGCCAGGACCGCGCGCGCCGCCTGCACTACTGCCGCCGCATCAAGTTCTGCTTCAAGTACGACAACCTGCTGGTGAGTCGGACACGTACTGTAAAGAATTAATTGAGTTTAATAAGTGAAACGCTGCGTCGGCACGACTGGGAGGGTCCCTGTCGTGCCGACGCAGCGCCCCTCGCATTCCGACGCGTCGCTGTGCCGCTGCTCACTTGCTTGCCCGCAGGTGTCGCCCGAGGAGCTGGAGCGCGTGGTGGGGCAGCTGCCGGGCGTGGCGGAGTGCGTGGTGAGCGACAGCGCGCGCGGGCCCGCGGCCGCCGTGGTGCTGCGCGCCGGCGCCAGCGAGCCCGACGCGCGCCGCGCCATCCACCGCGTCGTCGAGAGTGAGTACACGCGCGAGCCTCGCGGGAGGCGGCTAGCACGCGCCAGGCCTCGCTGACCCGCTCTGCTTGCCCGCAGCGACGCTGAGCGACCACAAGCGGCTGCGCGGGGGCGTCGCGTTCGTGGCCGCCATCCCGCGCACGCACACCGGCAAGGCGCACCGCCAACGAGCCAAGGACCTCATCCAGCGCCTCATAGAGGAAGGCGCTTGCTGCTATTGAGTACATAAATTGATGATGAGTGTTATTACAATTTGTTTTATAGCAGTCAGCAACTCATCAGAATAAAATCATTTTGTTGGAAAATTTATCTAGTTACTTGAGAGTTTCTTAGTAATATGGAACATTTAAAGCAGGTGCATAATTTAGGTGTTATACCCTACTAAATGATGTACATTAAATACGATTTTTCTCTATAAAAAATGTTTTTCCTCCATTGACGCGGTGTGGCTTATTATTACAGCTTAAAATACCTACAGTTGAAAATTTCGACAGGTTTGCTAAATTACTGCAAAGTGATGGGTCCCATACCTTTGTTTTACATTACCTTTGTTGTATAGTTACCATATCCTCATTGAAAAAAGTTGTGAATTTTTAAATTTCAAAACTGTAATTAAATAAATTAGACTGTATATTTACATAAAACTGAATGTTTTATTTAAACAATAATATTTGTATTACGTCTACCAACGTACCTGTTCCTGTATGTACCTATAAATATTTAAATTCTATTTAATAACAATACATTTCAGGGCACTTCCGATATGTAGGTATCCTTATGTATTACTAGCTCTACCACTATCCACACGTAATACTAGTTTAAAAAGTGAAATAAAATCGCGTCCCAGTATCGGCGGGCCGCCGCCGCGCCGTGCGGGCCGTGCCTCACGACGTAAACATCAAGCGAGTTAGTTATTTGTTATACGTGAATGATAAGCGTTTATTGCCTAAACAAGGTATTTGTCCCCTGTATAACTTAATAGACGCTTGTTAGTTGATATAACATCACACGGTACATTTTGAAATTTTAACTGATTATCGGNATTATCGGAAACAGCTATGGCCACCGACCCACTGTCAATTTGAGACTTCATTTTCATACTCTGAAGAACACTGACCATATCAGCCATTGGTTCCCCACTAAATGATCCGCATATTCTTGGGGTGAAGTTTGGTGGTCGTAGGCATTTTAAATTTAGGGGAAAGTTTGTATTCAAAATCGTGATAATCGTACAAGACTTATCGATTGTCTATGTTATTAACTAGTGTTCCTATTCATAATCATTACCTTACCTAAGTTGTAAGTATGTATCGCATAATATTTTGCTATAGTTTTTTATAGGTTTGACACTTGTTGAAATCCAATTGAGTAACCATGTGGTACAAACCGGTTGGCTAATATTGGACCAATTGCTACTCGTAGCACGGCAGAATTGTCTGTCTACGTTATTTATTTATATTCTACTACGTATTATGGAACCAAATAGCAAGTATCTCCTTCGAACAAAACGCAATTGCTCAAATCTGACCAGAATCTTTACTTAATCGGTGTACAGCGATTACTCAAAGAAAGATGGACGACATAAATTTTTCACGTCATGAACATCCAGGTTAACTAGCAAAGTTAGGAAGTCAAAAATTGTGTTCCACGCATTCGTAGGTAGTGTGCAATATTGTAGGTACATACAAGGCGCCTATAAGGGAATAGGGAAGACAGTTTGTTTTATATTTTGCAGGTACATTATTATGCATTTCAAGTTAAATGTTTATAGTAAAAAAGTACCTACATCTACGAGTAGGTAGGTATTTCGCCGTGTAAATAATATGAAATGTCTTGAGAGCGGTTATTTTTAAGAGTTTGTAATGGAACCAATCGTTTCAAGTGACTATAATTTACATAAATTAGAAATAACAATGGATCTGTGTGAGCCCTACGGTTTTACGACTACAAAAGTGTCTACGGACCTATCTACGGAGTACGGAAGTTGGACTGGGTTGTTGGGAGTACGATAATTAATATAAATAAAGTGGCTTTTGCTACCATACTCAATTTTTCTTGACAAGTTAACAGTCCAACATCCGTACTTTTATAGCAGAGCTCAATCCTAGGATGATATTATATGACTAACTTCCAAACAATCCGGAATAACATTATTTTGCAGACAACTCGTCATGTCTGTGAACAGGCGAGGTTGTCTGCTTTCGAGGATGGGTCAATCCAAGTTACTATGCATTTCATTACCTTTGTATTGTAGGGTCTAATCTGTAAATCTAGATATCAGTACTACGTCACTACCTTGTTTATTATACCTACTTGCTACAAAATTTTGTATACCCATTCTTTTGAGATACACCATGAATGCGTGGTAAATTCAAAGATCGGCTCCTGAATCATTAATGTATGTACCAACTACTGCTATTCAAAGATGATGTATTGTGTCGCACATCTAAACTAAACATCGTATATGACGGGGGCCTCCTCCTCAAAGTAATATTGCCATTTTTATTACTTGAAAAGGTGTCAAAATATTAACAATCTGCGACGAGACAAGGCAACAAGGGCCACGGAAGGACTGGTCTTTGACGGCTATTCCTCATCAACCTCAAGCACAAAAGTAGCAGAGCATCAAAGGCGCTACCAAATCCACCGGCCATTATTTACTATTAGAGCAAAAAGGTAAATTTTGATGACCATTCCATAATATTTTGATGACAATTTTTGGTACATTCTGATGATCAAAGAATATAGGACGAGTTATTAATTTTCATGTCTCAATAGTTTTTAAAGATGCTGAGTTATAAAAGTAGATGGCGACGCGATTACTGAATTCTTGCCATATACGAATATTTTAGATTTTACTGCTTGAATTCAAGTTACTAGTTTAGATGCTAAAAATAACTACCATGCTAAGTTGCATAACAGAAGCTTACAATGAAGATACATACATACATAGTGGCTGAGATAATATTTTTAGACGCTCATAGATGGCGGTTGACTAAGTAATTCAGAGGACAATGTAGATTTTTAGAGATGAAAAATGGTAATAAAAAGAAGCCGGTTTAATTACAACCCATAGTTTTCCATCCTCATAAAATAAATTAAACACTGCACTCGCATAATATTATCTGATAAAAATCTAAAGTCTCACCATCACCATCTTATACTTAGCGAATTGAGAGGCATCCCCCAGGCATCAGGCATGTCGCACGCGGTGGTGCGCGGCGCGCCGACGGCGGCGCAGCGGTACGCGGACGGCGCGCTGGACGCGTGGCTGCGCGCGCGCGGCNTTGATGAAACCTAACAAAACCGGTTAGGTTTCAAAAAACCGGTAACTGAAAATTCCTGAAAAATTACGGTTAGGTTCCTGAGGACATTCTGAAAACCGGTTAGGTTCGTTTCAGAACCTAACTTAAAAATACTTAAAAATATTTTTGGAATCTGTTTTTGGGCGTTAACTTCAAAATTTTCTATGGTCACCCCCAATGTGTACCAGCTTATTTTGTTCGTCTCGCCGAGCTCTATCCATAGACACCCCGTTTGTAGGGATCCGACGTCATAAAATTCAAAAATTCGCCCTCCCACCCACCCTTTTGTGTCTAGGCAGGTGGACTTTTTTCGCTGGGTCAAAAATTATATTTCGTGTTTCGATTGGTTTATGCTAGATCTATATCAAGGTGACTTACAAGATGTAAAATGAGTTAGTTTAAATGGTCCTAGTGGACAAAATCGCAAATTTAACTGCAACGAAAATAACAGATTTTTGTAACATAATATTATTTTTTTATTACCTGGATTGCAGTTATTTTATTTATGGTATCATAAATAGTTTACGTCCTTATCTCAGACCCTTTGAATATACACACAAAATTTCATTAGAATCGGTCAAGCAAGTTGATACAATAATGTATAATTATTGATTTTATTTAATTTGATATTATAATTACATAATAATATATTGTAATTAAGTGCCAGCCTAAACCGCAAAAAAATAAAATAAATGACTCCAAAAAGTGTGTTCTAAAAGGTAGAATATTATTACGTCATTCCTTTATCTGTATAATATTGTACCTACTTACTATGATTAATATCTTTGGAGTCGGTGCCGATAAATTTTTAGAGACAGGTTTTTAAGAAAAAAAAATTAATGTAGGCTTAGATAATAATTATGCTCGCTCATATTACTATGTACTTATTTATCATCTCGTTTTCTAGTTTTAACGTAGTACTTAAAAGTAGTCTTAGTTTGGCGTTAGATATAATGATGATGACTTTTTTTAACTAATCTTTACTACTACGTACAATATTTACTTTACACTAGTTACAGTGAATTTTAGTGTGACTGATGAACCAAGGGCAGCAACAGGACCTGCGGGCACGGGAGGCCCTAGACAAGCTTAGTTGCAAAATAATGTGACATTTTGTAAATTCGAAAGTAACTAAATACACAAAAAAACGCTAGAGATGAGGGTTTTTGAAATTATATCGGTCACGTTGTGTTAGTTTCCTTCCCACTGAAAACCAATGTCGGGACATCTTAAGTAAGTGCCCTTACGACTTTTACATTCCGTATTCACAAACTATGCTTGCTTAAGTGACGCAGCAAATCGAAATTCAAATTCAAAACGTTTATTTGCCAAAAACACAGTAATACACAGAACGCACAGCGTTGAATAGAGCTAGGTGATTGATTCGTGTGTGACCCTGTGCGTCCATGCGCACTGTGAGACCTCATAGTAATGTTTGTGAATACGGGCGTAAGTCTCTTTAGTCTCTAGGTCTATAATATTATAAAAACATACCTGCGTAACACAACAATAAACACAATCTTGTAACCTTCCTTTCTGTGACCCAATACGGCGGTTATAATTATAATTAGATGAATGAATAATTATGTATTATAATATCTTAATATCTTTAATAAATTGAGATTAAAAATAATGATGATCTGGTTTACCGGTGATGGCAGACGACGTGCGGGTTATAAGGCGGCCGCGGCGGGCGCGCCTCCAGTGGGCGCCGGCGCTTCTCGCTTCACATACCTATACATTATAGGACGGATTATCTTATTAACGCATCGCAAGTAAGATATTGTGCTCGTGAATTTGACACTATTGAAGTAATTGAATTAGTAGGTACACTAATCTGAAAATAAAGCGGTAAATAAAAGAGCAATAATTAAAATGATGGAAATCATATTTTCATCTTCATAAAATCACAGGATCTATGCTCTTTCAAATGTTATATTTTTCATAGAGGCATTGAACACTTGAAAAAACAATAGTTCATTCAAATGGTGGAAGCTACGCAATTATTTTTTTAGAACCTTAAACCACTGACGCACTATTTAACTAAACAACACAACATACTGGCGTATGTTTTTCGTGTTGGATTACAGTCGCGTCCAATAAATTAATTCAGGCATCCCCCAGGCATCAGGCATGTCGCACGCGGTGGTGCGCGGCGCGCCGACGGCGGCTCAGCGGTACGCGGACGGCGCGCTGGACGCGTGGCTGCGCGCGCGCGGCCGGGAGCNCACGATTATTCTGGTAAACAAATTTCCGGGAATAACGATTCAATATCCATAGTGCTTTTGGTAAATCAGCCAGTTTCAAAGATAAAATTCTGAAAAAAAATCACAAGGTGTATAGGGACCCCCAGATTACGAAAATCGCTTAATCGGAAAACTGCTGCTATGGCTATTGCGGCTTTATTCCAGGCACCCATCGAATTTAATTTTAATGGCTGATTTTTCAATCGTCAGCAGATATCTTTTAACTGAAGAATAAGCTTGTCATTTTGACATATTTCCCATATTGAAACTGTCAATTTGCCAAACTTATGATAGTTATCCGACAATTGAAAAATCTGCCCTAAAATAAAATTTAATTTAGTTTTCAAGCAATAATAATTATTGTCTTGCAGAGATACCGATCAAGAAAATAAAGTTACATACATTTTACGTAAATGCGATTATCTTAAATATTAGTAACACTGATGAAGTAGATTTGTTTTGACGCATTATCACTCTCTGTTTTTATCTTGTTACAGTTTACGGAAGATTATATATTAAAATAAATGAAGCCGTATAATAATATTGCGTATTTTTCGACAAAAATGGTAGATTATTATCAGATATACTACGATGCGATGATTACAGTAATGATGACCCAATTGAGACAATTTTAGGATTCGTCGTCAAGGCCGCGGTCGTGAACCCATGACACGCGATCCTCATCCTGTTTCGCATCAGATTATAGTAATTGCAGTAATTTATTGAAAACAAAAACAACACGTTGTATTAATTGAATTACTCTTAATAAAATTATTTTGAAGTCTTATGGTCGCCGGCCGCACCCGGGCTTCAAGCTACAGTTGCAAACGCCGCGTAAGAAGTCAGAAGCGGCTACAAATGTAGCTGAAGCGCGCGACAGCCACTTGTGGCTGCTAGTCGTCACTTCACGTCAGGTTCACTGAGTCTGAGGTAGAGAGAGAGGGCGCGCGAGTGGGGCAGTGGCCCGTGTGTGGAATATTTTTTTCAACATTCATTTTTAGGCTGGTTTTAGTGTCACGCGGACTGTCAGTGCGGATCGCTTCGCACAGCCGATCTGTATGAACTGCTAGGAAGCTGAGCGGTTCCTCCGGACCGCATTACTCTAAAAACGAATTCCGAATTCCGGACCGGTTCCGTAGTCCTGACAAGAAATCCTTATAGTTTCGCTATGTCTGTCTGTCTGTCTGTCCGAGGTTTTGCTTTGAAACTATTATATACACTAGAGAGCTGTAATTTTGTGAAGATATGTTTATTAATCAAGTCGACAAAACGGTACAATAAATTTTTGAAATAAAAAAAAAAATTTTTTTAGGGTATCCATGTAAGGGATACATGTAAAGTGAAAATTCCGTAGAAGAAATTATGAAAAGTGACTTAAGATGAAGTAATTGCTTGCCTTTAAAATATACAGGGTGTTTGGCGGAAGGTAAGATAAACTTCGTGGGTGTATAGGTAAGGTCATTTGAAGAATAAAAGATCGCCCATTTGACCTCAAGTGAGCTACTTTTTTTTTAATCGATATTTTTTTGTATTTATGAGTTTTTTTCCGAAATTTGACCTAAAAACTGCTACAATTTTTTTTCTCGCGTGTATTTAACCGATTTTTTTATTTGATATTAATATTGAGTATGTCTCTTTAGTCAAATAAAATAAATTTCAAATCCAGATAATGATTGGATAACTAGTTACGATCCGCCAAAGTTTAACAAAATTACAAACCACGATAAAAAATTCAACTTAGAATTCGATTTAAAAAAGAAATGAATGGCGATAATGGATTGCTAAGTTTTACATTTCTAAGTTTTCTTCTTTCCAATGATATATCACATTTAGTAATTAGACATTGATATTTGTAAAAAAATCAAAGTTTTGGGAAGAAAATGAAGTAATTATACAAAAACTTTGTTTTTTTGGCGAATTTCAATATTTGATCACTACATGTGATACATCATCGAAAAGAAGAAAAGTAAGAGATGTTTTTAAGATCATTGGCAATCCATTATCACCATTCGTTTTTTTTAAACCGAATTCTAAGTTGATTTTTTTTATCGTAATTTGTAATTTTGAACAAACTTTGGCGGCTTGTGCTATCTAATAATTATCTGGACCCTTTATTATGGTAACGACGGACAACTACGGAACCCTGCACTGCTCGTGGCACGAAACGCAATTGGCCAATTTTTAGAATTATTATGAAACAATCCTAACGAGCTTTATCTATTAACATCATTGTACCTACTACTTATATAATAATTATGTTACGTAGTTTAAATAGGTGTTTGTTTTCCATCCAAATAAAAAAAGTAAACACTGCACTCGCATCCGATCTGATGAAAATCCGAAATCACCCTCTTTACGTACTTGACAAATTGAGCTGAGCATCCCCCAGGCATCAGGCATGTCGCACGCGGTGGTGCGCGGCGCGCCGACGGCGGCGCAGCGGTACGCGGACGGCGCGCTGGACGCGTGGCTGCGCGCGCGCGGCCGGGAGCCCTCCCGCGAGGCGCGCGCGCGCGTGTCCGCGGCGCAGCTGCTGCTGCACTGCATGCGCCAGGCGCCCGACTTCGTCTGCATGGTGAGTGCGGCCGCGCGAGCCCGCCGCCGCCGCTGGGACCTCGCTGTTACCCGTCTGTTCTTGCGCCAGATCAACGGCGCCACCGGCGAGCAGACCACGAACCGCGAGATGCTGGAGCTGGCCATCCCTTTCGCGCGCAAGCTGCGAGCCCAGGGCCTGAAGGGGAAGACCGTGATGCTGGTGGCGCGCGACCACGAGCGCACCGTGGCGGTGTTCCTGGGCCTGCTGCTGGCGGGCGTGCTCGCGTACCTCACTGATCCTGGGGCCACTAAGTGTATGTACGAACCTCCGAGATTCATGTCTGAGCTGCAGAGATCACTGAGTATTCAAGGAGTCCATTGTGTCTTCGTCGTTTTGCACATTAAACTGTTCTTGTTCCAGATGAGTTGCAGCACTACTTGCGGCTCGTGGAGCCCGCGCTGGTGTTCTGCGACGAGGCGACGCAGGCGGCGGTGCGCGTCGCGACGGCCGACGCGCCCGCGCCCGCGCACGTGCTGCCCATACACGACGACGCGCTGCTCGACTACATCCAGGGACACACCGACGACCTTGACTTTTTCGAGTGCGTACTAAACATTATGGTAGAGTACAATGAATGACTAATTTGACAGTGATTATTATTCTTCAAATGCACGAAGCCCCAAAATAAGATTAGCTTCGAATAAAAAGTAGGTCCTTAACTTCTTTGTATCCTAATCCTGGTGCCCTAAGCTACTGTGTCTCTTACTTCCATTCTCGTTGTCTCGTATGTGACCCGCGTGGTCGTGCGCAGAGCGGAGGACAGCGAGGAGGGCGCGGCGAGCCTGCTGCTGCCCACGAGCGGCTCCACGGGGCTGCCCAAGGCGGCGCAGTACAACCAGCGCGCGCTGGTGGCGCAGCTGCCCACCGTCTGGTCGGTTGCACACTCTATTATCTTAACAAGTAATATAAAATCTGATTGCATAGTCTTCTGAATGGTGTCTGTAATAATCTCGCAGTTCGATCGGTTTATAAACCTTTCTAAAACTATTCTAATGGGTGATTCATTTGGAGGTACTTTTTTCAAAGCTAAAATAAAATATGATAAAAACCAATTTATTGGGTTATTTTTATTACTATACAAAAAAACGTTTATTGACTTTTGTTTTTCAAATTCAAACTTTAATAATTTCATTTTCAATATATTAATGATTACTTATTTCATTAAAATGTTGACTTTAACTCCGGGTAACATACTTCAACATTCTACAGTTCCAATTTTTGATGAAGCATCCGAACATTATTAAAACAGACTATTTGTTGCCTAAAATTCAAAACCGTGATAAGTGATTCATCCTTAAGATTTGTTAAGTTAATACTTCGAACTAATGTACCTACTAATTTTGTTATATTTTTTTGTTTTTTGTCCAGCTGATTATCATAGTTGTAGAGTCCTTAACCAGCTTCTAAATATTACGCCCACAGGATGCACTATGAGAAGTTTCCCACGCCTACGGAGCGCGTGATGTTGCTCACAACGCCGCAATGGAGTACCTTCACCATCACCGTTGCCACGTGTTGTTTATACAACGTCACACTGGTCATGTCTCCTAAAGAGGCTACCGTGGAAAATGTACTCGACATGATGCAAAGATGCAGGGTATGACATGAATAACTCTGAAGGTGGCGTTGCTAGTGTCGTTGAGGTCGTTACATAACGAGTGGGTTGTGTTATGTTGGCAGCCAACTTGGACGTTCTTCGGGCCGCCGTTCGCCAAGCAGCTGGCCAAGGCGGCGACGCCGGACCACTTCTCGTCGCTGGAGACCGTGATGACGCTCGGCTCGCAGGTGTCGCCCGACATCATGACCGCTCTTAAAGTGAGAGTTTTGAAGACTGAAATGTGCAACTCAACTAACAAAATTACGGAAACTAAATCTGTCTATATGTGTAGCTTTAATTATTCTCAATAGAGTCATATTCATTCAACATTGTTGTGATTATCATCATTATCAATATTACATACATTATAATATAGCAATAAGATCTCATATTCTACTCGATAACAACAACTGAAGCCAACTAATTTGACGTTTGGTGAAATTCCGTTAATAGTTTCACTATTTTTAGGAAAAAATGGCACCGGGCAGCAACCTGTGCGACGGGTTCGGCATGACGGAGGCGCACGGCTTCCTGGCCGTGGCGCCGCGCGGCGCCGCGCCCAGCTGCCAGGGCCGCTGCGCCAACATATTCCACTACAGGGTAAGGACAACTCATGTATGCACATGCCTCAACAAATACTAAAGTGCAAAATTATGTTTTCGAAATTAGAAGATCTACAGTATAGGGGAACCAACGTAGCTAAGCTGAAGTAACAGTAGGCGGGGCACGTGGCTCATATTTTTAAGCAGAAAAGATGTAGTTTAAGTAGACCTGTCACTCGGTGGACTGATGATCTAATTAATAGAAGCACCTACGCTAGAAGCGAACAGTGCTGGGCCAGACAATTCTAGCGGTACCCAAGGCCGTTTGAGCGGCTATGATTCACAATGCAGATATTTATTTGTGAATGAGCCTAAGTTACATGCCATCAGATGGGTAAAAAACATGCTCTCCAACCGAGTAGTAAACATAACCCTCAATGCTGCAAAGCTTGAATTTCTTGCCACAACAAATNGAGCAAAAGAAGTATCCATCTCGGGCGACACATCATGCACCCGGATGAGATAGCAGATATCACGCTCCAAAGAATCTGGAAATTTATAGACTCAACGGGACTAAGCAGTGAACTTTAAAGACAAGGGCTGCCACAATAGATCAAACCTGGTCGAGTTGGCGCAAATAAAGGCCCAAAAACCAATAATAATAATAAGTTACATGCCATGAATAAGATTAGGGTTACGTTATAAACTGCTCGCATGTTACAGCTCGTCAAAAACGATGATGAAGATGCTGCCACTGACGAAGAAGGAGAACTGTACATTAAGGGCTCTACTATTATCAAGGTAAGTTTAATTATAGTCTCTGACGTGTGTTCTATAGACACTAGAGTATAGAGATAACCTTTTGACCGATCATAAGTCATTGCCAAGTTTAGGCTTTTGGAATTCAGTTCACAATTTACTAATTCCCATCGTAGACAGTGAATAAGTAATAATGAAAGTAAAAGAAACAGAGCAAACATTGTTACCATACTATACCATGCTATTCGAGGATGATGAGGGCGCTGCTCTCATGTAAACAAACAGCTCCGTGTTTCGTTACCTTAAAAAATAGTAAAACTCGAAAAAGTGTAATAAAAACGTTTGATTAATAAAGTAAAGACTCTGATTGAGAAGTGATAGTGTTATCTCTATGAATAAAGCACAATTAATAACTAAAAACTAAGAAAATATGTGGACAGACTAAGTTCAGCTAAAACTTTGTTGTGAAGTGATAACATCTACATATTTTTGTGACAATACTTGAGAAACAACACAGTGAAGCAAAACAATCCCAGTGTTGATTGCTAAAAACAGTTTTGTGATATAATTCAAGAAACCTAAATCTGTTCCATCTTTAGATTTCACACTTACCTACTACATAATCTATTTGCGATCAATCAGCGCCATCTGGTCAGGAAAAAATGGCTCCGGGCAGCAATATGTGCGACGGCTACGGCATGACGGAGGTGCACGGCTTCGTCACCGTGGCCGAGCGGGACGCCGCGCCGGGCTGCAACGGCCCTTGCGCCAACATCTTCCACTACCGGGTGAGCTGCCGGCACACTCACTTAATGTTATGTGACTCATATGGCATTCACCTTTATGACACCTCCTATATTTTAGCTGAATACAATGCTTCTACGGATTAACGGATTAGCAAGCTGAAGTGGCAATTGGCAGGGTACTTACATAGTACGCAGAACTGACAGTCGATGGGGGCAGCAAGGTTCTGGAGTAGAGGCCACATACTGGAAAGCAGAGCATACGACGTTCACCCAAAATAAGGTGGACCGACGACCTCATAAAGATAGCAAGAAGGCGCTGGATGCAGGCCGCTACCAATCAGCCTTTGTGGAAATCATTGGGGGAGACTTATGTTCAGCAATGAACGTCCTATGGCTGAAATGATGTTATATTATGTTTGTAACGCGTAGGTACTGAGTCATCAACTGAATAGTCTTGATTTGTAATGTACAGCCTGGTCGGGATGTTTAACATCATACTTGCGATCCAACCAATCCAGGAACTGGGTTGGGTTTGGATATTTTTTCTTACTTTTGAATGGTTAATCTGTATCTATAAAAGCGAAAGGTCACTGACTGACTTACTCACTCATCACGAAATCTCAGAAACCACAAGTGCTAGGAGGCTCAAATTTTTCAAGGGGGTTCCTTTTAGAACGTAGGTTCTCAAACAAAATTCAAACCTGAGGGGGTAAAACGGGATCCAAGCGTACGAAGTCGCGGGCAGCCGATAGTCACTAATAACTGAATCTCTACTTTTGTTTTGTAGCTCGTCAAAAGCGACGATGAAGATGCTGCCACTGATGAAGAAGGAGAACTTACCGTTAAGGGCCTTAGTCTTGTTAAGGTAAGCGCGACTCTGAAAAGATTTAAATTTTTTCAAACCTATAAAAGTCACTGGAGTTCGGGCCTGAAAATCATAAGCATAATCTTCCTGCAATAGTCAACATGAATAATGTTATTTCTGTAAAACAACAATTTTATCGCGTTGAGCAATGGTAAAATGAAATAATTTTTAAATATCTCGTTACAAACTAATATTAGACATTTGAAACACCCGGCATTACCAACACCTAACAAAATTACAGCGTTGCCAATATGGGAACTTAAAAATTTGGATCATCCTTTACTAATGTTTGTCTACATAGTTTATACACTGTATTGTTTTCCTTGTAAAATAAAAATAAAATATAAATACTAAGAAGTAGCCCACTCTCAGGACTTGCTTGAATGGTTNTCACTGCGGTCAGCCGAAGAAGGACACAGCTGTCGGGTGTGTCCAAGCCCCATGCACTTAAAACAGCGCATCGGGCGAGCCTCCAAGATTTGGACACGGGCCGAGGACCACCCAATCAGGAAGCGGCCGGCCTCCGACAGTGTCTTGGCCGCAACAACCGGGCAACTGAGTGTNAGTTGTTACTATTAATTACATTATTTACGAATTGTATGAAGCCAGATTCAATGTTAAGTTTATTGTTGACTTTGCCGTCAAGTATAGGGACAGGGAATTAGGCAACAAGCGGTTGATTGATGAATGGAAGAGCTAGCATTCGAGGAACTACAATTCGTTTTACTGTAGATGTTTGGGGCAAGACATCAGAAAAAAAATGTTGAAAAATTTCACTTGTTACTTAAGAGATTCTTAGTAATAAAGGACATTTAAAGCAGGTACATAATTTAGGTGCAATACCTACGAAATGATGTAACATTAAACGCGATTTTTGTCTAGAAAATAAATGTGTTCCTCCATTGTCAGTATTAAAATACCTACAGTTGAAAATTTCGACAGGTTTGCTAATTTACTCCGTAGCTTACTTCCCCGCAAGCAAAGTCGTGGGTCCCACCTGGGGCAGCCATACCTTTGTTGTAGGTAGTTTAACATGAGCAGTGGTTGTTAGTCTGTTATTATTTCACAGATGTTTTCCGAACAAAATAAAATAAATAAATACTTTCGTATTTAAAAAGTTTCTATGGACAAGCAAAGCCGTGAATTTTATTTAAACACTATAATTAAATTAAATAGACTAAAATAATACTACTTACTTAAAACTAAATAAATGTTTTATTTAAACAATACCTAAGTATTTTAATTACCTCTACACATATCTTCATATCACATACATACAGGAACAGATATTAATACTTATTTAAATTCTATGACTGCGATTGCGGTCAAATACCTGCCTTGTCTAGAATAAAAAAAATGTTATTCAGGGCACTTACACACGCCCCATATACGACCTATATTAATGTACTTACCTACAACTTGCTCTACCATTATACGTACTCTACCATAAGAGTCTGGGTCTGTAGAGTATGTAATAGTTGAAATAAAAGAAATATTTAGCAAAACGCGTTTAGTGACATAGTGACTCAACTTCGTTTTGTTTTAATATGATATTATTTAATGTCAAGAACTTGTTTTGGTTTTTTGTGCATTAGAATTTGGGCAGGTTTTAATGAGGCCATAATTTTAAAGGTAAATTAATTAAATTGACGGAACAACGCGTGCGAGTAATTTGTTTCTCAAGTGATTAAACATGGCGTGTCGCGCGTTTCCGCGTGCGTCGCATCATTGACTTAGGTGACGCTTCGAGGATATTCATCCTCGGATTATTTTCTCCCTATCTAATTGTTAGGTGTCGAATCATCCGCAAAATATTTAGCTTCGGATGAAACGTCACCGTTTCAAACTTGTAAGTGTCAGATCTAATACTCATTATTTTATCTTATTCATAATTTTATTTAGACTCCGTCATCTGACCTGTTTTACCACTTGCCGCTAAAGATTGATTGTCGGCTTTTTAAAACTAATAATGCTATCTATTTTGTTGGATGGCGTTAATTATGTCAGATGTGTATAACTCTCCGAAGTTTTACTAGGAACTGGTGAAACTGGCTTTAGTAGATTGGTAACTATTTTTTTAACATCGTGGGTATAAAATATCGACAGCTGTTTTCAATTCAGCTGTTCACAGTACACAGGCATGGATCAGGATGTACGTACAAGCCGACTAAAGTAGCCTGGTAATAAAGCAGAGAGTGGAAGTACGATCTTCCGATATCTTATTAACTTAGCGGTGGGTGGACAAAACTCAATCAGGCTATCAATAAAATATCGGCGCGGCGAGAGCGACGATGGAAGTCGCGGGCACAGCGCGTCCATAAAAACTGTGATTGAATTGCGCGGGCTCTCAGGCGGCGTAGTGCAGCCAACTCGACCAGGCGCGAGGAGATTGGAGATCTTGCAATCGAATAAAGTTGACTAGCATTTACACTGCATTTATAATTTATGTAAATAACTTACATTTGAGTGTGTAGTGTTAAGTACTATTAGATATCGTAAAGAAAGCTCTGATCGTAGTTTCAGTAACACTTTATCACGCACGATACTCGTAAGCGATAATAAATAACAGCGACACTTTTATGTGCAATGTGCATGGAACGTTTTTTTTTTAATTTGTTTCTGGGGCTTAGCTAAGACTTCTTACATCTCTTAGGAATCGATATGTTTCTCAGACTACACAAGAACAGATGAAAAAGCTATTCTCGGTGCCACGGAATGGAGGTATGTTGTTGTCTGTTGCACTCCCCATCTCGCAAGCTACCTCATCGCGCGAAGAGGAAGGCAGCAGGCTCACTAGCACGCACGAGGCAAACTATACATAATCATAATAATTATGCTCGACCCACTCTGAGATAACCTCTTTATTTATCACGCTTGTACGAAGGGTGTAACTATTTATTAAATACTAGCTGACCCGGCGAACTTTGTTCCACATTAATGGCAATAAATAAGCAGACTTTTTTTTATTTTCGAACGGGATAAAAAGTATCCTATGTCCTTCTCCTGGCTCTAAACTACCTCCCTGACAATTTTCAGCTAAATCGGTTCAGCAGCCGTTCTTGAGTTATAAGCGAAGTAACTAACACGACTTTCTTTTATATATATAGATAGCAAACATTGTGTCTTTGTGAAATTAAAATGAAAATTATTGTTATCTTAGCTGAATGAGAGTTTTCCAGAGTATTCTGGTAGGCCGAGCGGGACTAAGCCCGGCCGTTGGCCGCCAGGGGTTCGTCGCGACGGCTCTATTCAGCATTGAAAGCTTTTACTGACAACGGCTCTTTGTTCGAAGTCAATTACTGTTCACTTGTTACCTTTATCTTTGCTACGGAATGCGCAACCTTTCCGTTTATTTGGCCGCGACTCTATCAAATATTGCCGATGAATGGTTTACGATTTACGAGGTATTAAAAAAAAAACTACTTACTAGATCGCGTTCAAAACAATTTACGTTGGTAGTTTTTATAGTAATGTACATCATAATGTTTTTTAAGATTTTTCATTTTCTTATTTTAGAAGTTAGAGGGGGGAGGGGACCAACTATTTGGATTTGGAAGCGTCTGTCACGCAAACTATTCGGTTTAGAAAAAAAATATTCTAGAAACCTCGATATCATTTTTGAAGACCTATCCATAGATACCTCCTATCCGGACAGACGGACAGACGGACAGACGGACAGACGGACAGACGGACAGACGGACAGACGGACAAATCCCAACTAATATTATAAATGCGAAAGTAACTCTGTCTGTCTGTCTGTCTGTCTGTCTGTCTGTCTGTCTGTCTGTCTGTTACGCTTTCCCGCTTAAACCTCGCAACCGATTTTGATGAAATTTGGCATAGAGATAGTTTGAGTCCCGGGAAAGAACATAGGATAGTTTTTATCCCGGTTTTTGAAACAGGGACGCGCGCGATAAAGTTTTTCTGTGACAGACAAAATTCCACGTGGGCGAAGCCGCGGGCGGAAAGCTAGTTTTTAAATAATACTTCGATCATAGAATTATAATCATACTACAACGCACGCCAGCGTCCTGACGAGCGCGCGCGTGACACTCGACTGATAGATAATACCTATATAATACCCGCCGGCGGGGCGCTTCGCTGTAGGTAATTATCGGATGTACCGCGCGGAGTGAGCCAGGCCTGGTATAACTCAACAACGCCTGGACCAATTCTTTTTTTTTTAATGTTCGTTGAGAAAAGTTCGAATAATTTCCGGGAAAACCCTAAAAAAACTCGAAACTTCACCCCTAAGGGGGTAAAACGGGGTCCACGCGTACGATGTCGCGGGCGGCCGCTAGTTTTATATAGGTAAAAGTATATTTATAGTATGTTTTTCCGACGTTTAGCAATCTACCTTTACGTGTGAATTTATTGAATTTGAGTTTGAGTTTTTTTTTTAAAGTAGCGTAATTAATTAAGGTATAGTATCGTAATGTACTATTAAATTGTACCTTTGAAACGTACCTATGTCTGCATGAATTATAAATACAGTCCCCAATATCCTCCGCAACTATCGCTGCAGTCAGTGCTTCATGCCTGAGGGCCGTGTTCAGCTTCGCAGTTGCATCTGGATTCTCTGTCTCCACCGGCTGTCCAGCGCGTACTGACGACGACGCGACTGTGTAGAATTTGAAGGACGATGATCTTCTAACACTAGAGTGCTCGCGCCCCTAAATACTCCTAGAGTGCTCGCGCGGGTGACATATGTCCCCCATTATGATATGGGTTTATTTTTGCTAATCTTATTTAATACAAGTAAAACAATTTATAATATTAAACATCAACTTTATTTCTTACTAAATAATTTAAAAAAAGTGAGAAATTCTTTCATGAACTCTTATTATAAACCAAAAGAAATACTTCAATATTTTTCCAATATTTTAGATTCGAAGAGACCAAAGTAGTTTAAATAGTCGTTTTACCCGTTATTTTGGCAAAAATATCACCTAATTAGAAAGTTAATTAATAGATTGATCTTAATCTGTGATATTTTGATCACAACTCGGGCACGATATGATTTGATGATCTGGACAAAAACGCCTATTCCACTTGTTACATTTCCTTACGAGTGCTTCGATTTCTTGCTCTTGTGCAAAAAACACATCGTCCTTTGCCACAATACTGGCAAGCTTTGTGCTAGTTGGTGTTCTCGCAAGCCCAGAAGAATCCTGGTTTTTCATTTTATAGTCCTAGGTGAATTATTACTACATTGCATACAATCTAAAACAACTACTTTCTTGCTTATAAAACAATCAGTTTATGCTTATAAAACAATATAATTATTGTAAATGTTTAAAAAATGGTTAAATATTATAACTTTGAGCTTACATAAAAGTAAACTTGATTTTAAACCGCGACGATAGGGGATCAAACAATTCCTCGAGTGCTCGCGCGGGGGACATGCGTCACCCAAACACTTTAAATGTTTTCTGCACTCACGTTGATGCGTCTAGCAAAATGGCGTTACTACTAAAATGTGCGACAATACATGCTCGAAGAATACCTGAGAAGGCAGCACTGTAGCTCGATACCTTGAAAAAATATTTACAAATTTTACACCCTGGGTGACATATGTCACCCGCGCGAGCACTCTAGTGTTAATTCAAATTATTGTAGTCTCAATTTTTTATTTTATTTTTTAAGCAATTTAAAAATAGAACAAAGACGCAATTGGAATACCCGTCCCTAGTACAAAGTCGGTTGTGTATATCCGACGTCAAAATTACCAAACTTTACCGAAGTACAACGATGGTTCTGATCAAACGTCAAACAAAAGTCCTTAGAACAATGTAAGTTCAGTACATCCGCCACCAAAAACAATTATTTTGTACCAAACATTCTTAATGTTTATACTCATCAATCTACCTACAAATACCATAAAATAAAAACAAAAGGACACTGTTTCTTTTATTTTCGAACTTCCTAGTACAACGACGGGTGTGTACGTACGTCACAGTTTTTTTTTCTCTGACTTCCCTAGTAAAGAGATGGTTGTGACTTTCAGTCATCAAAACGATAAAGTGTCCAAACTAATAGATATAAAGACGAAATTCTAGATACATTCAATATCAATACGAATACAAATGTATAAGCTATTCCAACAAACGATGTGCAGTCTTCCGAGGTATAATGACGCTTGCGCAAACACGTCTCTGTACTGCGTTAGAATAATCACATCCGTCGGTGTTCGATTCTGTATCTTCGAAATTATTACGAATTTTGAAAAATTAAAAAATTAGTTTATAAAGGGGCTATTTTAAAGTAGTTTAATGCAAAAAACAGATTTTGACGGTCGCGATCATACGACGTTGTTCGACGACGCCGACGAACTAATCTAACGTGTAAGAGCCCTCATCAAGACAAAACTATCGAGCCCAGATGCGATATATGGTAGCTGTAAGGAAAGGGAGGAGTTGGGTGCTCCGCAGGAGACCCGGCATCAGGTCCATCTCAACTTAATATTGCGATCCGAATTACATAATACATAATGTAATAGAAAAGTGATATACGAGTATTATTATTTTATAAAAAAAAATACATCGTTTAATTTAAAATAAATCATTTTAACATACTTAAGAATAAAATAACTTAAGAGAGATGGTATGTATTATGTCACCGTAATATAGAGAAATCCGTCAGATTATAATCTGACGTAGTTGAATTACAATCTAACCTAACCTAACTCACTGTTAGTTTACAATCTCACGCGTTATATTGTAAACTGACGGAGCTTACAATTTCGCGTTGACATATACATAATAATATGTAGTAGTAGATATAGTATGGCCTTGTATTACTACATGGATCTCACAATATTTGTTATTTCATTTTACATTTCTTAGGATAACTTAAATGTTACGTTAAGTGACATTTATAATTAATTAAAGTAAAGCCAATTACCAGTTTTCACATATAGTTAGACAATTAATTAACTTTATCGCGGACAGAAAACGATGTTAATAATTTATGAGATTCAAACTACTAAGTCTAGTTCCATGTCATCACAGACAGAATTAAATCGAGTAGGTAATTACTGAGTTGTGAGTGTCACGTGACTTTTTTTTACAAGTTATGACTTTTGATGGCTATAATACAATATAAAATAGGATCTACAAAAAAGGATTTTCTTTCACTTTCATGTTAAGATTGATGTCTAAAGTTACGAGTAGTAAGTCAAGTTGATGTCACATACCTACCACAGGACTGAAACAAAATCCATCGGTGCGGTGCCGGAGACAATTACATGCTGTCGGTCAACACACGTTTCATTAGGGCGCTAGGCGCGCGCCTGTGCTGTGAGCGCTGCGGCCGCCTGCCTTCCTATTCCTGCCTCCTACCTTATGCCGGCCGCTTCCCACAACCGTCTTTATTCCATGTCCTTTTGGTTCCTTTTTTAAGCAGCAAGCAGATATAAGCATTATGTCATACAGAGTACAGTACTTAACAGAGATAAGTATTTTTCAGAAAATAACACATTATTAGCATAATGTAGATAGATAGTTACACATTCNNNCACGTGCTGTGTGTACAACGTCACACTGGTCATGTCTCCCAAAGAGGCTACCGTGGAAAATGTACTCGACATGATGCAAAGATGCAGGGTATGACATGAATAACTCTGAAGGTGGCGTTGCTAGTGTCGTTGAGGTCGTCACATAACGAGTGGATTGTATTATGTTGGCAGCCAACTTGGACGTTCTTCGGGCCGCCGTTCGCCAAGCAGCTGGCCAAGGCGGCGACGCCGGACCACTTCTCGTCGCTGGAGACCGTGATGACGCTCGGCTCGCAGTTGTCGCCCGACATCATGGCCCTTCTAAAG